GAGCCCGCTCCCATCTGTTGATCCGCTGCGCTTCGCCTCCGCGCTGCAGTTCGCACCGCGAAACGTCCGACGGGTTTTTCCGCGGCACCTGCGAATTTTCAAAGGCGTTTAAAACTGGCTTCGAAACGTATTTATTCCAATTTTTAAGTCGGGGCGTTCCCCCCCGAGAGCTCCCCTTTAAAAGTCAAGTTCAAGCCCAATCAAAGTCGTTTAAAACTGGCTTCGAAACGTATTTATTCCAATTTTTAAGTCGGGGCGTTCCCCCCCGAGAGCTCCCCTTTAAAAGTCAAGTTCAAGCCCAAGTTCTGCAGAGCGCGTAAAACACGACTTCGCATTCGTTCCATTAGAAACCGCTTCTAAGACATTGTGTATAGTTATTTTTTTATAAAAGGAACTCGAAAATACCCGAGTTAAATAAACAAATGAAACTCATTCCTGTAACAGCCATGGTCTGGAGAAGGACAAAGCAGAGACACAAAATAACAATAAATATTAAATACTTTGTTTAAAATACGTAATTCATAACAAATAATTTTTTCACTGTTCGTAACGACCCTTGGATCCTAACCAGTGGGAGCCTGATCTGCTCAGGCAGATTAAAGCTCACCTGCCTGAGTTTCCCACTGACAGGAGTGTTCCACAGGTGATACAAAGCAAATATTGCTGCTTAAAGGATGACGGTTGTTTAGCAATTCAGCTTAAGCTTTAATACAGACATGTAGCGCGTTTTCAGTGATCTGATTCAGTGGAAAAAGTTCTCCCTCTGTGCTCAATGGCAGCTTTCCTTGTCATGATTTTAATCTTACTTAGACATCTTTTTTGCAATTTACTTTTCTTCGCAATAAATTAAGATTAGCATCTATTCCAATGACTGAATGGAGTTTGTTTGTACTTACCTCATGGTAACAAATCTCTAACACAAACAAGCATCACAGCCATTTAGCTAAATTACGTACGCAGAGCGATAGATAGAATTTAGGCCAAAAGAAAATTTCCACCAAGACCGGTGTTCTTACCACGTGCATTCTTCGTCTGACAAATCCGATCCATCATGCCCCGTTCCCTTCACTGTCACACCGAACAGGAACTCTGTCTTGCAAAGACTGGGCCTGCATTAGCAAGAGGGAAAATGTTTTCAAACACACAAATCAAATACATTCAGTTACAATTGCAATGTATTTATTTTTTTACACCTATCAGTCAGCCAAACAAAGCCTAGACTCACCCTAGGGAGAGACTTTTATCCTCCTTAGTTCATCTAGGAGAATCAAAGTGGCACAAAGATGCTGTAAAAGCCCCAAACTGGTAAGGAGCAAAGCTGACAAAGAAGCCAAACTGCCATAGTCTGGAAATCGCTTGCTACAGCCTGGCGCTCCAGAATCAGGGGAGTACTTTGGACCATATTACTCCCCTCCTTTTTGGCAACAAGTCTTATAAACAGGGAACACAATCTGACACTTGTAAATATGTCAAGCAATTGTGTATTAACCAACCAAAAAACACATCCTTCCGCATTAAAATAGTACAGTTCTTTGTAAATACACTGCGGCATCAGTTATCCATCCTACCACTAAACGACGCCTAGGGTACAACAAACCCTTTGATGAAGTATCCTTTCTATTTCTGGAATAAAAGAACATCCCTTGTCATGAAAAAATTATTTTCTTCTTATAGAAATATTTTGAAATTGAGAATCACGTTATTATTTATCCCAGAGAAAGCTAACAATACTGTGCAGAATTAGAAACTGCAGAATTCACGTTTCTTCCACATGCTGCTTACCCTCCAAATGGTATTTCCAGTTGTCAGCATTCCTCTTCTGGATCTTTCAAGTAGAGATGACTTATTATGCTCGATTTTCTCATGAAAATGTGGGGTCTAACACATGATTCAGATCCATTTTCATGGAGAGAAATGTTAATATACTCACACCGTGCTGCTTTCGCCAATTTTCAGGATTCTTATGAACGTTAACTACTCCTTAAATTAAAAATCTTTTAGTATAATTAAATTACCTGTAATGGGTCAATGTTCTGAAGGGCTGCTGCTCGCATTTGTGACAGGCTACCGGTCAAACACTTTGACCACATCCTTGCACTGCAAAGTTCACTTTGTCTTTAAACTGAAAAAAGATAGCATCTCGTTAAGTAGTTTGCCAGTTACTTGACTTCATATTATGTTCAGCGATCATAGACAAGAGAAATCATTACAGTCTAATCATTCACTTCACAGTACCAAACCAGGAAAGTTCCCTTGCCGACTTCTGACAATAGTGTTACTTACAACAGAAATTGTTCCACTTACAGATATCATACACAAGTGACACTTGCCCATGCATAATTATCCTAGATGGTATGTGGTGGAACATGTTTCCCAACTCAAGGGTATTCAAGTTTTATTCCTTGTTTTCTTTTACTTCTCTTTAAAAATTGATCAATGAACACGAACAATAACATTAACAAAATAACCATTTTTCCGTAGTCGCAAGATACGGGAACTTCTTAATTAATTCTGCCAATGTATTAACTTGCAAGCTGCAATTCCAAAACTCAGATGCAGCACGGGGTTTCCAGGCTCCTGGAGATCAGCTGGGTCACACTGAGCCTTCACCGTACAGAGCTGATAAGCACTCTGGGAAGGAGCCAGTTACCGACCCTTACAAAATTAGCCCAAATAGTGATAGGCAAGCTTATTTTATTCTAGAACAACTTACCCCGAGCTTACAGTAATGATCAAACCTGTTCTTCAAGGAGGATGGCTCAGCAGTTTCGTAGACTTTGTTTTCACCAGCAGGTGTTGCTTATGCTTCAAACTAAACATGGAGGAAGAAACAAAGATGTCAGGAGGCTAAAGCAAAGCCAGAATGTCAAGCAGTTGCTTGGTTTTATTTTGTCTTAAAGTATGTCCACTTTGCTGTACTTTCAAGTACCTCCGATTTATGAAAAGAGTATTTACTCGAGGAATACAACTGGCCTGAGCACTAGATTCAGACAGGGCTCTCCCAGCTCTGGGTATGGAGAGTTTGGCCCTTCTTACACCAGTAGCAGAACTGGAGTTCAGCCAAGTTTTGTCAGTGTCAGAAAGCAGCAGTGTTTGACATTTCATGTCAAAGACAACTCATTTCTAGGTAAAATGTATTTTTCCACGTATTTGAGTTAGACATGGTTATTCACTAGCACAAATTCCAGCTTTGGCACTATAAGTAATGATTGTCTTGTGTCAAATTTAATCAAGTCATTTTTAGTGTTTTCTAAATTTTCCTCTCCAGTTGCCTACAATACCCAGTAATGGAAAGGATAGGGTGGGGGAGAATGATATGAGACCCAAATTATGAATATAATACAAGCAAATGGTCTTTAACTATTCTACATACCAAAAAGCAACAAAGAAAATAATAGTTTCCCTCCTGCTCTTCAGTTGCTCTTAAATAAATCCTACTCAAGTTAGTAATTTCATTGACGATTACTAAAACTCAAGTTCTTTGTCCATGTTTTATGTAGTTCGTTATTGCATGTTCTTGTAATATAGTGCAGATGAACAGCCTAATTTCAGGTATGTTTCCAGTGGTCTTATTGTTTACTTTTTATGACATTGCACTAATTTTTTAAGTGTTTTTTAATTGATCCAGTAATTACATTTTTTTGTTCAAGTGTTTATAAATAAGAACTCGTAATGATTTTGGTTTTAAACCAAAACCCTTTACTTCCACAAATTAAAGACTTAAGAGGGAAAAAAACCCAAAAAACCCAAACTTGTTCCCTGGCATGAAGAAATAAACAGCATCTAACTTTAACATAAAAAATAATAAAAAAATTTCACACATTAAATCCATACTAAAGAGTTCTTTTTAAAAAAAAAAACAAAAAACAAACAAAAAAACCTGATAATGTACAGATTGCCTGTAAACAAACATTTTAATTTTAATTTTATTAAGATACAGGAATGGCTACATTAGTAAGTTTATTTATTCCTCGTAAAGATAAAAAATTATACCTGAGTTAAAACAAGATACTGATTTTCTGAAGGGATGGGTGCTTCTATCTAAGAGGAAAATAAATACATAAGTAAAAGATTCGTTTGTAGACAAGTTGTTCATGTGGCCCATAGCTTAAGTCCTGCTAGTGATTAGACTGTGGTCTTTGAATTGTCACCCTTGCTCACCATCGTTATCAATAAATACCGCAAGATAGATCCACGTAGTCTGTTTACAATCACCCCTAACTATAGAAAATATCTATAGAACCTAAGCATATTTTTAATCAAAATTAATTACATGGATTATTTTACAGTGCACAAAAGCAAGTCAAACACATTCCATATGACTGCAAACCTCCCCAGCTGATGCTATCTGAGATTTTTATACTGCTACCGTCACCAGTATCTAAGCATTGAACTTCGACAATCAACGGCAGCAGGGACTGTCTGCTCAGACTTCACGGAGTTTCTGTTTCTTTTCCTTTTCCAGGATGAAGAAAAGACCAAATGTAGGCTACTGCCAGATGTGATGCTAGACCCCACAATAGTTATACCGCAGGGATTTTGCAAATGCCTTTCACAAATAAATAGCTTCAGTTGACTAAGTCTGTTGATGTCACTGGGACTACTTACGGGAACAAGCTTCTCACAGGGCACAACTGTTTCAGGGTCAGGATTGTGTGGGGGTTCAGAAAAGCACACCCATGGCAGAGGTCAGTGTTTCAACATACCTCTTGAGAGTTATACACATGAAAATTCCCTGAAAATTATATTTTATTTGCTCATATGAATACTAGACTAACGGTACTTATTAAGGAGCAGTTTGAGGAAAGATAAAAGGACCTGGAAAGCCAGTTTTGGGAAGTTTTTCACACCTACAAGATAATGTTGAAAGAAATCTGCAAACTATTGTAGAGGACTTAGATTAACTGAAGGTCATATCATTCGGAAACTGAAAAGAGAAAAAGTTGAAGTTAATAGGTGAGTCATAATGACAAGAATGAGACATTTAAGCTTACTCTGGTGAAGCAGACGTAAAGCTGTACATGGAGTTAAAAGAAAGTGCTCCTATATTTTTATCAAAAACCAGACAAATTATCTTAGTAGCTCCTTGTTCTCTGGATTGTAAAAGATAGAAGAGAGGCAGGAAAGCAAGCCGTGGCAGGCACTAGGAGCCCAGACAAGGTCTTTTACTGTCTAGAAAGAGAAAAGGTCATTTCTTACTGTTATGGATGAAGTAGCAGCAGGAGTTGAGTGAGAGCGGTGAAGAGTAGTATGAACAGAGGAATGAACAGTGAAAGGAAGGACGGCGCCAAAGGTGCCTGACTAGTTATAAAGAGTAGTACTAGTAGCACGGTGCCTTTACTAGTGATGGAAGTGTGAGGGAGTCAGGAAAAAAGGATGGCTAAATCTGGCCGTGTGAATTCAAGAAAAGACAAGGAAGGTCTCTAGAAACGTGGCTCTGGATGGAAGGATAAAAACAGTTCAGGAGCAGAGAAGTAGATTTATTTCCTTCCCACATCATGGTGATATTTAGATGACATTTCAGGTATAACTGGCAGGGATGAAGCAAATAGCAAAATGCAAACCGTTACTTTCAAGAAAACGTAATGCTAAAAATAAAAGTTGTTGAAAATAGTAATAGATAAGATTCAAAAATAAAGCTTTAGGCAGTCTCTTATATGTCGTCCCATTTGACAGTCAAAACGCTATCGCTGTGGTAGCAAGTTTTCACTTGTTTCTTTAAAAAAAGAATGAGAACGCTCTGTGTGTCACGGAGGCCTTTGAGAACTTACGGTGTAAGTGGTACAAGTTTCAGTATAGAGAGAACTGGCCAGCAAGATCTTGCAAAGGCAACTACCAAAGGAAGACAAAGGAGCATGTTTATTTTTAGTTGGAGGTAAGGAACAGTTTTGTGCATCAGCATGCCCTCTTGGTTTCTGTGAGACACGATTGTAAATTCTCATTTAAATATTCTGTAGAGCCAAAGCAAATGAGCTGTTTGGAAAAACAGAAAGAAACAAATGACAACTGAAACTATTCAGGAATAAAAAGGGAGCATGATTTAGGCAGAGCAAAATGGCAAATACTTTTTAATTGTAAATTATTTTTGCACTCAAAAGGGGAAAGAATTGTGATGTTGGCTAGATACCTTGCATTATGAATAAACATACCTGAGTTTCTAAAGGATTTAATAATCTAACACGAAGCTTCTACTAGCCCTCTAGGCAGAGGATGGGCCTGTTGGGTCATGGTTTCATACCATCAAAGAGATAGATTTCATCTTTCAGATGTTGTTGTGCTCGCTTGGTAAGAATTCAGCTTATTAAAAGGTGTTAAATAAGATACAGGATAAAAATACTACAAGAGAAAAAAATGAAAAGATTGAAGGCTAAAAGGCAAAAAGGCAAAGTAAATATGGAAATAACATTTGGCAAACACATTCTGAGAACAAAACTCCCAAGTTTGTTTATTGGAATAGATTTTAGGGTAATGCTGGATGGGTGATGTAGCTTGATGTGCTATGACCTTGGAAGCAGCCACTCAGGCAACACCCCATGCTGCACATGTGGAATGTGCAGCTTTTGGCATGGGAGCTCAAATATTAAAATTGGCCCATAAATCTGAGTACAGTTTTCAGTGCTTAAGAATCTTATTTTATCTGGATTAAAGTCCTCTTCCCCTTTTGCATTAGAAGGTGTTTATGGCTGTAAAAACAAGAATTGCAAAATATTGCCCTGAAATATATATGGACGTCTCCTGCCAAGCTTACAAGGTTTACTTTGCAGCTTAAAATTAAAACAGAAAAAAAAATCTGCCAGGGACAGTATGGCCTTTCTAGACAAAGTGTAGTGAAAGTATGGGCAAATCACAAATTAAGTATATCACTCCAAAATTTTTTTTTTAATTCTAAAAATCATTTTGCTTTACTGTGGCAGGAAAAGCTAAGACAAAGTTTTTGTTCTAAGCCCTAAGAAATCTTTGCTTTTTTTGAAGTCATGCTCAAGTTCTGTTACAAAAATGATGAATAAAAACTATGGCTTATGGTCTGTGATCACTGACCACATTAGAGCCTGGACTAACGTAGCTCTCTCTCATTGTCTTCTGTTATCTTCCAACTCTTCACCCTTCAAATAT